TYTTGTTGCCAATGTTGTACAGAATATGATTAAATCCCAACCTTTAAGTACAGCATTTATTTCATTAATGTTGGCTTCAGTATGTTTAGTTGGAGTGCCTGCCAATCACTAGTAAAATTTCTCAGATTCAATCTGGTCACTAGTAGTATATAATTCTTTACACTCATCATTTGCAAAGGAGAAAGAATGATTACATCAGTTCATTACTCTTTTTTTGTTCCACATCACCACCACTGCTACCATATAGGAGAGAATGATAACCCTACTAGATTTTTTTGTACACCTACTGTCAAGTGCTTATTGACCCTTGCTTTTGAAACAACAAGGTGCAATTTTACTTTGTTAGAACTGCTGATGGGCAATAACCTGTCAGCAGTTGTTACTATCAATTTTCAAATGCAAAAGGTGATGGCTTGTCATTATTTTTTGGCTGAGCACTACTTCTTGTAGGAGTAGTAACAGTGAAAAAAACATAAAACCATAGAATGGTGAAAACAAAACAAGACATTTGTAATTTAATAAATAGTAGTAGTACAGTGAACTCAATTTTTTTGTTCTGCTCCTTCTTCTTACTTATTGTACTAATAGTAGTAAGACTGCTGCCCCTTGTTCTTGTCACAAGGCTAGTAATTTTGGTACTACTAGTACTCCTGTACTAGTGATAAGCATGCAGCCAGCACATTAAATTTGAACTGTTGCTGATTATGAAAGAAGAAATGAAAAAGATAGTTGGGGAAACTGTTGTTGCTACTACTACTGCCAATTACTGCTGAAAGGTGGTAGTACTACTGCTACTAGGAGATGATACAGCACGAAGAAGAACAAGAAGAACTGATCAAACAACAAAAGTCTAGAAGGAACAAACACCACAGCATGCTCTATGGAAGTGAAAGAGAAGAATTTTGATGTGAACAAAATCTTCAGAAGAATTATTTCTTCTTTCTACTAATTGAAATGTTGATAAAAGTTCACTGTTTGGGCTCTATTGTTCATGAAGAATTCCTTACTACCACAACTGTTTAGTAGCAATAACAAGAAGTGAATTATTCATTCTATTACCAGAGATAAGCTTTTGTCACTAGCAGATACTTGGTACTGTGGTATGATATTCCTCCAACCTTGATTTGTTGTTGTGTGTGCCACCACCAATACTCATCAAATTGTGCCCAAAATCACTGTTCCCTCATGATATGCTGCTGTGTTTTACTATTCATCAATTTCTGTTTGAAGGGTCCAGTACTAGTACCAGCAGCAGTAGTAATACTACTACTAGTGCCTATTAACATGTGTTTCTACTAATTCCACTTACTAATCAGCAATACATATTATGACAAGCTTCAATATTATGCATTACAAAATAATTTTTCTATGCTCCAATTATACTTTTTCTTCAAGGTAGAGACAAAGAAGTCATGTKGTTGTATCCCTGATGCTGATAACCTCCTAAGTTTTTCAAAAGTATTTCCTTGTAAAATATGATGTTTCCCTCATCAAATTGATGAATTTKAAATTTGCTGTTGTCTAGGCTTCAGAATAAATATGTAGTTCTGCTAGTATGCTCCTGCACTAGTTCTTGCTGCTTTCAATGAAGTAAAAAGTCATTGAAAACCACTGACRGTTCCATCAGAAAAAAGTAAAGAAGAGCCAGTCTTTCTTAGAATGTTTAGATTTTCTTCCTCCAAGTTTTTAGAAATCACCACATAGTATCAGTTCTGATGGGTGATTTTCTGCAAAAACTCCACCGCATCCACTACTTGGTTTCAATGTTTTCTGGCAAAAATGCAAGAGGAGGGAAAATTCCAAATACTAGGAGTTGCAAAATTTTAACTCAAGGTAGTAGCTAGCACTAGTAGTGCAACCCTTTCAAGTTGCAGAACAAAATCATCAAG